CCTTCTTGTTCTTTCTTTCTCCCCCTTTTTTTTGTCTTCTTCCTTCTGGTTATCTTCCTTTTTTTACACTGTTCCTTTTTTGACGCCCCCCCAGTTTGTCGTTTTCTGAGGAAAATGATGTGACGGGTTACGGACCAGGGGCTAGCGCTAATGCTGTTCCCCCCGTTTTTTGCCCCCTTTTTTTTCTTTTTTCTTTTTTTCTTTCTTTTTTTTGTCTTGTTCGCTCTCTTCCTTTTTGGTGCCTTCGCATTTCCCTCGCACTTCTTCATTTCGTAGTTTTCCAAGGAGTATGATGTGACGGGTTTCGGACCAAGAGGGAGGCGCTAGTTTAGGATTCCTGTGAACCAGGCGACTAAGTACGACTACATTCAATTTTAACTCAGATCCCGAGGATACTGCAGCCAGACACTTCTAGCATTTCAGACTGGGCGCCAGCAGTGAAACTCAGAACCGATCGGACCAGCGGATCGAGCGGTGCTTAAGCGGGGATGGCTTGGTCACAAAGGGTACCGCCAAGCAGTTTGCACAAGGCCATCTGGAGCAGTCGATGTCCGGTTTTCTGCCGAGGCGCCTGAACGAGGATTTCGCATAGGGTTTTCTGCGAAGACTGCCTCGGCAATTTTCTGTACCGAGTGGCAGTGGGACGAGCGGAGGCTCGGAGATGGACTTTCACTTCGATCCGGACATGGAGGAGGAAGGGGTACTGTAGCCGCATCACCATGAAGCCCACTGGACTGGACCCGCTAGTGCTCGTTGCTCTACTCTGCGCTATCGCCTTGTGTCTGGCGCTCGTGCCCAACGTCCTCATCGGTGCGCTGCTATGCTGGGCCTGTAGGACCGAGTGAATGATGCTCGCAAGCTCGCGCCACTACTTGGCTCTCATCTACGCCACGACTTTCTTCTTCGCTGCCCTCAGCGTGGTTTGCACGATAGCGCTCATTGTGGCAGCGCTCCTCTTGCACGACCTGCTGGCGTAACCCGCCATCCGCGCATGCTGCTCTCGCATCCCCTTTCTCTCCAGCGACTGTGCTCTCGCCGCGTATCTCCCTCTCCCTCTATCTCTCTCGCATGCACACGCACACGCACGCGCACCCCCCCGCCCTCTCTCCTCTCCCCTTCCCCCACCTTCCCCTCCTCCCCCCCTACCCACACTCCTTACACGCCATAAGGGCAGCAGCAGCCATCCGCGAGTAATGGCGACCAACGACTACGGCGAGAGGTCAACCATGGAGATCGCAGCTTGCGTCTTCCTTGCCTACCTAGCGTTCCTAGCTCTCCTCGCACTCCTCTTCTTCCTTACCTTCCTCCCCAATGCCAGCTTGCAACCCCCCGCCCCCCCACCACCGCGGCATTCAGAGCACCTATTATGCAGTCAGCAGGCGGAGCGCGGCCCCCCAGTTCTTCCTCGTGGTGATCGATCTTCCTGTCTCGCAGGCGGTCCTCGGCCCCCGGTTCCTTCGCAGTGCAAGACATTTGAGCCCCCTTCCCCCCCCACCCCTCCCCTCCAACCCCCCGTAACCTTCCCTCTTCTTCGTCTCAACCTTCCGACAACAAAGGAAGGGCTCCCCTCTGATGAAGCGGCAAGTGGCAGGCGGCAGAAAGGCCTCAGGGATGTGCCACCCCTCCTGTGGATCTGCTGAGTTGTCTAGTGCATGTCAATTCGGAATCGGGACATTGAAATGGCATGGTGCAGGTTTCTCGTTTTCTTTTCTTTGTCAGTTCCTTCCTTTCCCCCTCTTTTTCTTCCCCTTTTCTCCCTTTCCCTCTCTCTGACCTTCCCCACCCTTCATACTCCCCCTGGTCCGAGTTACGGAGGATTTTTTTATTTTTTATTTTTTTGAGCAATACTATTTTCAAGCATAAAGTGTTTTGAGCTTTATGCATGGTATAAATCGAGCGTGTCATCGTTTGCTTTTTTACCTGTGGTTTTTTTTTTTTTTTTTTTTTCCGTTCTTGTTTACCTCACGGATTCTTTCTCTCTGTTTTTTTGTTTTTTTCAAAAAAAAAATTCAAACGATATGCGTTCTGGCTTTCAGTCGCCTGTGCTCTGATCCCATTGTCGGATACACAGAAATGAAAGACGGACCACATACCGATCCATAGAAACGTTGTGACTAATATCTTAAAGATGATAGGCTTCCCTTCTTTCTCATTACCCCTCTGTTTTTTACTCAACCTCACTTCTTTTCCGAGATATGCGATCTTTCCTTCAGCCACCTGCGCTTAGATTATTTATTCGTGAGCGCAGGAGTGAAAGACGGGTCGCCTCTTGATTACTCGGTTTCTTTCCGCCTCTTCCGTTTCCTTTTACGATCGGGTTCCCCTTCCTTCCCCTTACCAATAGCTTAGGATTGAAAAGCATCTGTGCATCTCAATCTCCTCGCTTTTCCCCCCCTCTTTTTAGTAAAAGAAGATCGTTGTTATTATCTACAATGGATTGCATGACCTTGTGGATGTGACACCCCWTCCCTTCTAACGTTTTACCTGGTAACATRCTCTGCGTCCCTATCAGAGTTCTCGYCGTCGCKGAACCYTTCCTCATACCCCTTTGTGTTTTGCTAGACCCCTGGCTATCAAGCGGCATAGCAGTCTGCTTCCATGAATGTTCCCCCCGTGGCGCAACAGCTATCCAGCTTTGCAAAGGGTTTCTATAGGATCAGCAACCGGTCTCTCACTTTGTTGCTCCCCGGCCTGCCGAAAGCCTTCGATCCTAGAGCATCGTGAATAAGAGACGGGTTGCAGTCCTCAGAAACCCTCCTTCTTCAACCCTATAGGGCGCAGTCTCGTACTGGTTACCCTTTCTTTTAAAAGCAGTTCCCCTCATTTTCGTGCTCGAATGCTTATGATGTACTTCCAACCGAACCCTCCCCCCCATCCCCCTCTGCTATCTCGGAAAGAAACGAACATGGAATATCATGTAATTATCCCCCTCATCCCCCTGTTTTTTCACCTATGATCGATTTACCAGGTGCACCGCCTCGTAATGCCAGTTTTTACTAACCCTCCTCCGCCTTCCAGTTCTTACCGCCTCTTCCATTCTCGCACATAAGCTTTCCCTGTTATCGCCCGTAACTACGCACGAGATGAGCACTAGCCTTGCCTCGAGTTGATGGATAGATTACCGCGCAGCAGTAGTTCACAATGCCTGCACGAGCTTCGGGGATTAAGGTGCATCGATGATTAGTCATCGGAGTAACATGCGAGGTGCAGTAAAACCATGTACCTTCGCGTACCATAGAGACAAAAACACACACACACACACACTCACACACACACACACACACACACACACACACACACACAAGAGGACACACACACGCACACACCAACCCCAGCCTAACCGCTTTTTTTCTTTATTTGTTTTCAAATTTTGCATCCTATTTTTTTTTTAAACACCCATTTTCCCGACACAAAGCCGAAAAACATTTCTCAATGTCCCTCTTGATAAAAAATGGAAAAAAAAAAATCGTGGTTTTTTTTTTTTTTTATAAATAATTTGTTTAAATCGAATTTTATTTTTTATTTTTTTAAATCTCAATCGAAGTCGGATTAAAAAAAACAATATATAGGATTGTAGGGTTTTTCAAGCCCTACAATCCCATATATATATATTTATTTGTTTTACGTATTTTTAGGGGTATAAAAAAAATATAAAAAAACAGGTCGCGAACTGGGCCTCATTGGTCGCGGCCGCGACCGACTTTGTCGGCCGCGGCGGCGGAATTGCCCGTGGCCTAGGCCTCGGGTTTCATGTAGCCCAACAACACTGCCACAAGTGTGAGGCTGTTGGGTGGAGTGCTGGCTTTTATAGCTAGCTGAAGG